ATAAAGCTCTGAAAGCCAATGAGAAGGAGAGGAAGCCATTGACGGACAGCCACGGATGGGATACTTGCTTGCGTAGCGTCACGTCTGAAGCCGAGAACACGGAACATCTGCAGTGATGCGTATATATTTATGCCCAGACACGTGTGTGTGTGTGTGTGCATGTATATAAAGGCTTCGTTATGAACTTATTATATATACACATTAACATTTATCTATGTTAGCACTTCATGACATATACCAAGTATATATTTTGCTTGTTGCATTTATAAAGTGCTCACCTAAAACCTACACTGGTGCTGCTTATCTCATCATCTGCACTCTCTCGTATATCTGTGAATATATATAAATGTGATTTATTTATTTATTTATTTATATCCTGCCTATCTGGTCTTATGACCACTCTAGGTGGCTTCCAAATACATAAGACAACATGTAAATATAACAAAAAATAAATTATTACATCAGATAACTAGTGATTCAAGATGGAAGGTTATAGGTATTAGTATTTCCATTTTATGATTTGGAAACAGGACACTTACTAGAGCGCCTGTAGAACCCAAAAGCCTAAATGGTTAGTTTAATGTTGGTTTGTTTATCTGTGTTGTCCTTGTGAGGAAAAGAGGTGGACGAGATGGGTTGCCTCCCTAAAGGAAACCCCCAGGAGCCGAGCAGGGTGGCGCTTTTCCATTAAGGAGGGCTGAGGTTTGATGCCACACACGGCCTGTCGTTTCCCCCTTCCATGCATTATGTGGATGACACGAGCATCGGAGAAGGGCCGTCATCTCATGGACGCTGATACAAGGCTTGAAAACATCACCATCATCAGAATTATTGACTGCCCATCCCAGAATCATCTTGAGGCTGTAATGAAAAAAATTCCTATGCCTATTATAAAACTCTTAAGAGTCACTTTTCCAAGCTCTGAGGTGAGGCTGTAATTCATCAAACTTGCCAGTCTCTGTGTTGTTTCCAGCACTGCATCCAAGAAAGGGCTCCTGGTGAGGGATTCCCGAGGCCCTGGGGGCTGTTCCTACTCCCCGGTATGCCTGTCCGGTCCACCTCCACGCTACAGCAGGTACTCAAGGAGACTCAAACGGACCTCAGATGAGGACTTCTCCACCTTTGGCTCTCTGTAGTCAGGGGAGCTCCCAGGCGGTGCCCCAAGTGAAGCAGGTGGGAAGCAGAGCCACCGGGTGAGTCAACCCTCCTCTCGACAGCTGCTTGAGGTTGAATCCTTGGGGTTGACGTCAGGCCTGTGGCGAAATCAAGGAAGCGAAGCAGGAACGAGGAGAAAGCACTTGACCCTTCGGGAAATTCTCAGCAAAGGCCTTATGTTCCCAGAAAGGCCAAAGCACAGTACAGTACATGTCTCAGTGAGGCTCGGACAGCAAGCTTTGGCCTTTGGATCGCATCCTCGCAGACTTGACAAGGTCCCCGTGTGGATCTACACCTTCTCTTCCCATGGGACCCGACATTTCCAGGTGAAACTTCCGACTAGGCCATGTGTGAAATCAGACTCCCTAGCCCTCCCCCTTGGAGAACGTCCTCCACGTTCTGCTCTGCGGTCATGAGTTTCTCGCTCCCCCTTTACACCTGCTCTCCCAGTCCAGATCTGGGAGTTTTACAAGATAGAAAGCGAGTGTCTTCAGCTTATCACGCCCTAGATCTCAGGTGTGTCGGCCTCTCAGTTACACGCTGCCCGCAGACAAACAATGATGAATTGATTCCCTTTCTCAGGGCGGCTTCAACACATTCTCAAGACAAGGGCTGGGGCACACCCCGTTTTCACCATCAGGCACCCCCCCTCCGGCAGCTGCTGCAGGAGACTTTTGACAGAAAGGGCATCCACCTTCATTGTGTGCAGCTAAGCTCATAATTGCTCGATTGCATTCTTGAGGGAGATCTGAAGATAACACGGTGCTGAAGATCTCTATCCTGCTGGCTCCTTTCGTTCCCACAGTAGTCAACAGCCGGGCAGCAAAGGGCTCTGAGCCGAAAAGGCCAGGTTTCAAACATCAGGAGCTGGTTTGCTCAGGCGGATTGCCACCTCATCACCTACCTCCCTCATTAACAGGAAGGAGATGTGGAGATAACTGGGATTAACAGACATGTGGCACTTTGTTTTTTCAATGCCCTGGTATTACTCCCTCTCACAGCCAAGGGAGAGCTGGTGTCCGGTGTCCTTGGAACTTCATCTGTTCCAGACCATCACTATTCTATATATATTTTCGCGTGTTCTCTTTGGAATCCATGGTTTCCTTTCGTTTTTTTAAAATCTCCATAAAAGCAGAGGTGTGCCCATCTCTAGTGTTTTACTCTCCATAAAAATCTGTTTGAAAAGAAAATCTAGGTGTGTCCTTTTTCCCTGCAGCTGTTGGGAGGAGGGGCTTTTGAAACTCAATGTATATTCAGGTATTCATCATAGCCTTTTTGCTTTGGAGCACAGAAGCCAGTAGTTTAGGTAACTGGCTGGGGGAGCCAGAGGTTGGGAGTTTGATTCCCCCTGGATGCCTCCTTGACAGGGGCTGGACTGGATGACCCCACAGGGTCTCTTCCCGCTCTGCAGTTCTAAGAATTATTGCTACAACACATTAGCTAAACTCAAAGAAAAACTGTTTAAGAGTGCTATAGTGCCAGAGCACCGCTGTTTTACAAGCATGCACACAACACCGAAGCCTTTTTCTTCTGAACACAGAAATGGAAATTGTTGTTTTTTAACAATAGTTTTTAAAGTTAGCCTTCAGTGCTATAGCTCTATATTATGAAACCTGACATTGCTGCATCCTCGCGTTATAGCATCCTATCTCACTCCCCTTCAGGAAGACATGAAACTGGAAAACATTTTAGTGGCAATTGGCAGGTGGATTAAAGAGCAAAAATGAGGTTAAAGGACAGAAATGGAGAGGTTGCCAAGTTCATGCTCTGAGGGAGAAGATCAAAAGAGAGCAGTTCCGCACCAGAGCAGAGCAGGGAGCAGTCCTTTCTTTCCGCATGGCCGGTGACGGGGAAGGGGCAGGGATGGACGCTGGTGTTGCGCAATCCCACACAAAACCCTTTGCAGAGTGGAAAAGGACAATCCATCCACCTGGCCCCTCTAGCCTCCAACCCTTATCCTTTGGCTCCCTCTCGTGGCCATCCTCAGGCCACGGCACAACCTGCCATGAATTTGGCCTTTGTGAAATGAAACCCCAACCCCTCTTCAGGGGGTTTCGCTGGTTCATACCAAACAGGCATCCTCGTTTTGCTAGAGGTGGTGAAGGTGGTCTTGGGAAGGTGGAATTCCTATCACATTGGGTTGCCTTTTGTAGAATACTGGAGGGTTGAGTCGAGGTTGGCATGGGCCCCCGGTTCATTTAGTGGCTCAACGGGTGTTCAGCAGTTTGCAGCCCTGCCTCCTCTGTCAGGCGCCCACTGGGGTGCTGCCTCTGATGGGCACCTGCCAGAGGAGTCGGGGCAGGGCACCGCTGAACACCTGTTCAGCCACGGAATGAACCAGCAAACCTGCTGGTTTGGCGGTTCCTGCCCATCTCTACTGTTGAGCTTAAGGCTAATGATTCCTACCGGCTTCTGGGGACCAGCTAGCACAAAGGGAGGCCTTTTCGAGTCCTTTTTGAAGGGACCTTGATATCGGCTATGGACACCTGACACCTGCACACAACCCCAAAGAGCTGCCCGAAGCGGTTGCCTCTTTGACTCAGGTTTTCCCTTCTGTGGAACATCCTTTGTGAAAACAGGGCTGTATCCTGCTCTCCAAGCCAAACTTGATATCAACTGATTCACCTGCTGTTTGTGGCTCGTTATTCATTGTCTCGGTTGTGCCCATAAACCAGGGCACGGATCTTGGCTGCTTCTTGTCAGGCGAGGGAGAAGCATCCAGTGTTTGTTCAGAAAGTCCTTGAAAGAAGGGAGGCCTTGAACCTGGCGCATCTGAGTCATTTGCCTCCTGGCTGCAATAAAGACGTATAACTTGGGGCACTTATAAAAGCCTCCGAAGGAGCACAGGAGGCTGCCGCTTCTTCCCAAGACGAGCATCCGTCCGCTGTGCCCTCCTCAGCAGCGTAAGTGCCAGGATTCAGCAGATCTGGAAAGGGGGGTTAGCCACGACCAGCTTGATGGGGTGGGCTAGGGCTCCGCAGCTCCCACCGTGAGAATTTGGATGATGCCTCCTTCCTTCCAGCCCTCTGGCTTACAGTTCATCCTTCTTGGGCCAAGGCTTTAATGGGCGAAAGCACAGCTGTTATGGGTAGTACCGATTTCGGGAGTGAGGGGAGGCTTGGAGAATGCCGAGGTTCTCTTCTGACATTCTGGAGCCAGGACGCCAGGAGAGAAGACGCATCCCAGGTGGCGTAATCGCAGGAGGAAAAGGGTGTGACAACTCCTCTCTTTCATTCCCCGAGAGACAGCGTGGCTTAGTGGCTATCACCTTGGACGGGGATGTGGGAGGTCAAAATAAGCTCCAGAGGGTGGTTTGGGGCCACGGAATTCCCTCCTTCAGTCAAGCTGACCCCCCGCCCCCAGGATTGTTCTGAGAGGAAGGCAAGAGGTGGGAAGTACGCCATCTTGACCTCCTTGGAGGAAAGGCTGTCCCAGGTGGGCAACTTCCTTCCTATAACAGGTGACTTGCGTCCTGTTTTCTCTCCCTAGGCGTAGGGCTGGCCATTAACGCTAACTCGGCCGATCACAGCCTGCCGACAAGCCCAGGCCTGACGCAGTCCCTCCAGTGCACGGTGCAAAACCATATGCAGGACGAGCAGGTGCGCTGGTTCCGGGAAGGCAGGCAGGTCAGCCTGAAAGACGGCAACCAAGTGAACGCCAGCAGCATCTGCGTCTCCCCTGTCACCGTGGAGGATGATGGCGTGTCCTTCACCTGCAAGCTGGCCCGAAATGACTCCGTCCAAGTCTCTGTGACCCTGGACGTCAAGTGTGAGTGGCCAGCGTCTGATCGGGTTGTGAGGAAGGCTGATGGACGAGAGCGCTGGGCAGTCACTGATGGGTTTGTCTGTGTTCCGCAACAGATCTGGACTACATATCCCAGAAGCCCCAGCCAGCTCGGCCACTGGCTGGAGATTCTGGGACCAGCAGTACAACACTTCCGGGTTTTCCTCGGCAAAGTGTCACTTTCAGTATCTATTTTTTCCCCTCCGTGAATGTCCTCGAGATGAAATGTAAACGAATACCTGACTTTTTAAAAAAGAAGGTTAATTATTTTGGTCACAGCTATGAGAAACAAACCTTGTTCAGAGTCGGGAGGACACTGGGATCTTCCTCCACCTCTGAGCTGTTCTTGGTACTAAATCCTTAAAAATGAATTCCTTACCCCTAATTTTCCAAAAATCCCCCACCATTCCAAACTTCCAGCTGTAATCAGAAAATTCCTTAAGTTTAAACATGGACGACCCACACCATTCTTTCTGAGAAACAATGACATTTCTCATTCCTTCATTATGGGCCTGTGTTTATCAATTCTATTTTTTTTTAATTTTAATGATTTAAATAACTAACTTACCCACAATGAATTAAATAACGTTTTAACGTGACAGAGTAGCTAGCCTTAGCACTCTCTGTTCGCTGCCTTGGGTACTTGCATTGGGAGAAAGGCACCTGTACGGATCAGCTCCCTAAATATATTGAAGGAAAGGACTCTGGCGAAGGGGCAACGTCTCACGCAAACCTTTGTCGGTTCCCCACAGTCGCCCCTATCCTGAGCGGGGAAGACCCTCCTCCAGCCGCAGAGGAGAGCGATGTGACGCTGAGCTGCCACGTCAAGGCCAACCCTCCGGCTCAGATGAGCTGGTGGAAAAACGACAGCACGCTGACCCTGGAAAAATCCCGGTACCAGATCCTACAGACCGCTGAGGTCTTGCAGCTGAAGATCCAGAGCGTCCAGAAATCAGACGCTGGGACGTACACCTGCGTGGCCCAGTCCACCGACGGAGAAGCAAAGAGGAGCTTCCACCTGGTCGTCGAAGGTAAACCCTGCCATCATGCCACTGGCCGCGGACAAGCGGCCGGCAGCAGTTTCGATTCCGTTACCCGACAGAGGGAAGCGGTCTTGCTGTTGGGTCCCTCCTGAAGAGAAATGCAAGGTAGAAATATTTGAAATAAAGAAAAGCGTTATCTCCGAGATGCAGACAAGTTAGCTCCAAGGATCCTCCTGCCCTCTGGGTCGCTAGGGAATTCTGGGTGTTGTAGTCCAACAGAGGTTCTCCCATCCAATCCCCAGCGTCTCTGGTTTGAGAGGACCAGGAAAGCAGTTGATGATGAAAAAGGACCTGCTTTACGGGAGACTCAAAAACAGCGACTGCTGCTAGTCAGAGCGGATGATGTTGGAAGCGTGAGAGGTCACAGGTCTGCTCTGGAATCCGGCAGCTTCCTCCGTTTGCCAAATGCAGAGAAAGGAACGGATCCCGGCTCTCTAGCATCCAACCGAGTTGGGCTTCTTTGTTTTTCACCCCTCCAGATAAGAAAATCCCTTTTCCAACGGAGGCCGTCATCACCGCAGCCGTGGTGGTTTTCCTCACCATCCTCTTTGCTGTCGTAGCGCGTCGAGAGAAGATCTTCAAGGTAAGAAGGACCTTGCTGTCCGTCTGCCCATCTTCTCAGGCTTCAGAGAGCAAGAAGACCTTCAGGTTCAGGAGAAGAAAATATTTTATTCAGAAAATGGGAGGGAGCTCCGCCAGACCCAGAGGACCTCAGAAGGCCGTCAGCTGTGCATTGCTGTACTTCCCTCAGTTAATGGTGGTTTTGGATTAAAAGCTACCCCGAGCCCCCTCACACTGCATCTTTTGAGAGAAGAGACAGCACACCTGCACATATAGAGAGGGACATTTTGGAAATAAAAGATCCCAAAAGCCCCAGTGGCCAACCTTGCTGAGAGACTTTGGGTGTTTCAGACCAGAAGGGAATCTTTCCACTTGCGCTGGATACAGGGAGAGGCCCTCCTTTTATTCTGAAAGCCAGAAAGGCTCCTGAGCGCATCCTTCCATAAGTGCGGAAGCCTATGGGAGAAGAGCCCTCTTGTCTTGTCCCAGCCGGCAGGAGGCGCCCTTCTCTCAAGGAGACCGGGGGGGGGAGTCTGGCTCAAGACCTAGCACCACCATCGTTCTGCTTCAGACACCCCAGCTCTTTTCCCCAAAAGGAAGGGGTTTCTTCCCCCCACACACACACACCTGATGTATTTCCCAGTTTGATCTGCCGAATGACACGCTTGCCTTCCTCTGAAAACACCCTCCCTCTGGAAGGAGGGAAGGCAAGATTGCCTCGTCTCCCCTCCGGTCCTGGCGCTGGTGCGTGCGGACACCCCAAAATCTCAGAAGGGCCCTCAATGGGGCAGGGCGGTGAAGCAGGCCATCCAAAGCTGCTCAGCAATACGTGTGTGAAAGCGTTTGCCTGTGGCAGGGCCTCAGCAACCCTAACCCACCCCCCAAACCCCCCCAACCCCGGTCCCGCAGCCAGCACTCCTGGTCTGAGTGCAACAGGAGGTCCTCTTTTTTGGGCGCTGGGTTTTGCATCGGCTCACCCGGAGGGTTAAAAGCAAGAGGCGAAACACTTTTCTTTCTGTTCTTTTTCAAGTGCTTCAAGAAAGCAAAGGCGTCACCAACCAACACTGCTCTGTAGGTACGTCTAGAGTCGCTCGACCTCGTGGAGGAAGTTCTGCGCCTCCCACAGCTTGCTTGTCCGTCTGGTTTACGCCGGGCGGAGGTGGAGGGAGGGTTGTGGGTGCCCAACGCGGAGGATCCCGCCATACCAACCTCTTGGCCTGCCCGACCTGGCCCTCGGGTAAGAGACTTCTCCGCCACACAGATCTCTATAGGCAGCCCTTAAGAGGTTTAGGGTTCTCTGCTTCTCTTCTGTTTTTTTTTTTAAATCTGCTGGCCCTCGACCCTTATCTTGTCCTGTGTTTTCCCTCCAGGGGAAGGAATTCTGACCTCAGAACCACCACAGAAGCATCCTCGGTCGCTCCCCCGGATTCTCTTGGGCTGCTCCTCTTGGATTTATTATTTAAAATAAGCAGGCCATCCAAAGCTGCTCAGCAATACACGTGTGAAAGCGTTTGCCTGTGGCACGGCCTCAGCAACCCTAACCCACCCCCCACCCCACCCAACC